TTAAATATTTTTTAGTTGTTGATGGACCTTTATTTTATTTGCTTATTTATATATGGTGCTAGGAATTGAACCCATTGCCTCACCCATATGAGGCAAGAACTCTATCACTGAGCTACAACACCAAGCCCTAGCCAATTCATTTGTAAAAGTAAATAGTTGAATAAATATACCTTATTCAAATGCTGTGCTATGTAACCTCTTCCACAACCAACATCCAAAGCAAGGGTGAAATCTCTAAAATATAAGACACAGGAGTTATGTTTTATAATACAGTCCATAAAATAATTAAGAACCAATTTTTTCTTCAGTAGAAACATTTTATTGAAGGCAATTCTTAGAAAATTATATGGTCTGTCTTTTCTGCCTTGCCTTGCAACTATATCCACCAGAGAGGATACTATATAGAGAAAGTCTATCTAATCCAGTCATTCACTCACAGGACCTCATGAAGAACCAGTTTTACCACAAGGTGGCTCCATGATGTGAATTAAAAGAACAGATTTAATGACAGTGTTTTAATTTAACAATACATCCAGATAAAGAATGAAGAGATTAAATGTAAATTAACAATGAAATACTATTGACTTAGTAATTATCCCATTTCTCAAATTTGTTGAGTATTAATATGCTAAATTAAATAAAAACATTTAATAATAGGTAACTTTTGCTAAAAATTTGTCAGGCTCAAAGTATTAAAAGTTCTAGGTATCCTAAGTTAAGTAGGTCAACATGGGTACTTTTAACTAATAAGGAGCAATCAACATTTTAATTCGGTCAGTTTGAATCTTAAGGCAAAAGCAGTATCCTTCATACAATGTTGTCCCCTTTAAAAAACATCATATCATACTATATCAGTATAGACATCTAATTATAAGCCATATGTTTAAGATAATTTATGACAAAAAGTTAAAACTTTATCTACTAGTAACATTTCTTCCCTAAAAAACTAGAAGAGTCCCTGTTCAATTTTTCTTAAAAATATATGTCAAAATTATAGAACACCAGTAGTTAAAGAACCTGTGGTGACAGTTAGTCATTTTCTGTATTTTTAACCTAATGTTCTATATCTTGATTATGAACATAGGCAATGTGGTATAGTTACATACACAGGTTTTAGAATTAGAAAGACAAAAGTTCAGATTTTGTGTCTGCAATTTACTAGCCCTGTCACCACTGATTTAACTTTGCTATATTTCACTTTCTTCATCTAAAAATGAAAACATTACAACTTTCCATCAGAGTTGGTGTGTCACATGAAATAGTGCATTTAAAATATTAGGACAGTACAAACATTCAACAAAAATTAGCTAAATTAGTTATATTACTGATTATATAAACTTATTAAGAGAGTCTCAGATCCCACAAATAAAGACATTTAAGAGTTAAGTTTTTAAAAGTCAACAGAAGATCAATATTGAGAATATAAACTACTCTTTGTAAAAATAAAATATTAATGCAAGGATAGTTAGAAAAGTATATTTAACAATTTAATTCCAAATACTTATGTTTAAGACTTGCTATTAGGCATAATCACAGGTCTCTTGATAGACTTAACTGAGCTTTGTTCAGCCATGACATAAGTTTGTAAATTCAAATGGATGTAGAAAACTTAATGTTTCCTTTATTATACCACAAATGACCTATAATCCAGTAAAAATGATTACAGTAGTTTTTTGTTTTGTTTTTCTTTTGGCTCTTTAAAATAATGGAACTAAAGAAATAAATGAAATGGGGGAGCTATTTGAAACAATGAAGCATTTTTTTAACCTTAAAAATTAATTCATCCCAAGGCACTTACTTTGCAAAAATATATCTAAAATACAGTTGGAATTTGTGATTTTATAAAATTCCCTTTTTTATAGACAAATATAATAAATTCACCCAACCTTGGTTTACTTTAATGGATGGCTTTTAACCAAAAGTGCCTGTAGTCCCAGCTATTCAGAAGGCTAAGGCAGGAGGATCATTTGAGCCTAGGAGTTTGAAGCCAGCTTGGATAATACAGTGAGACCCAAATCAAAGGTAAAATAAATTAAAGTTGATTATATTTTAAAATAACCATCATTTACCTGGATATGTCATATATACGGTCTGCAATCCGATTTCCAACCTGAAAAATTACAAGAAGCAATGAAGTACATATGTCAAGTAGGTTAAACAGAGAAGTAACATTCTTTCCCCAGTATTCCACAATCAATAGGTTACTTATGTTTTAGCATAATGATAAGTAATTCCCTTTATCCTTTTCCTATTTTAACAAGAAAATTTCAAATCCTGAATAGGAACACAAAATATTCCAAGAAACAGGCAAATTATTCTTTGGAAGTTAATTTAATGAAATCGAGATGAAACTTTCTTAAGAATGTGTGTGTATGTGTGTTTACAGTTTTACATTCCATAAGATCACAAAAATGCCGGGCTGGGGCTGTAGCTCAGTGGTAAAGTGCTTGCCTCACATGTATGAGGCACTGGGTTTGATCCTCAGTACCACATAAAAATAAATAAAGATATTGTGTGTTCATCTACAAATAAATATTTAAAAAAAAATCACAAAAATGAAAAGTAACAGGACACAAAAGGCAAATTAATGCCCAGATATATTAGCATGAGTACATGTAAAAGTGAAAAAATTAGTTAGCTAAGATTTATTACAGAAAAGAGTAGATACAATGAAAACTAACAAATCTTATGGAACTCTTAAATGAGTTAATAATTTTTTGAGAGATATTTGCAAATTAGAAAAAGTCAAATCTGGGGCTGGGGTTGTGGCTCAGCGGTAGAGCGCTTGCCTGGCATGTGCGAGGCCCTGGGTTCGATCCTCAGCACCACATAAAAATAAATAAAGGAAAAGTCAAATCTGAATGAACCCGCCCCCCTTCCTCATTCCAATTTAAAACAGGTCATTTTACTGGGCTACCTTCATCTGGCAGGAATAAAGATGTAGGGGTCTAATATTCCCTACATTTTACTCCCTCATAAACATCCCAGAGTTGCAATATGTGCTTTGTTAACAGGAAGAGTGGCAAAGAAGGAGGTATAGCACAAGTCTTTTCCCAGAGGAATTCACTTTGTAGATCATTCCTAATATCAGTGCATTTGTTTATTATAAAATAACTCTCATATCTCATTTATTATAAATCTGCACACTGACAAGGCTTCAAAATGTAATCCAGGTGCTTTTCTTGGAAGGAAATACGGATTAGGAACACACATCTTCAAGTACATTAAGTACATGCCACCATGAACTCTTCAGGAGGAAACCAGTAACTGGTAAAATCAGTATAGTGTTGCACTGTTCCTTACAAATTGAGAGAGATGAAATTTATTGACAGTTGACTTTTCTCTCTAATAAACTCTATCAATCTCTAAGCATTGTCTCATGTAAGGCTTCCTAAAAAGTGACACACTGTCAATCACCTGATCAAGCCAGTGACTGCACAGAGTTGTGTTCAAAGTAGGGGCCTGATTAACGTGTGGTGCATTAGCTTCAAAAAGCTCACTGAACTTGACTCCAATTTTGCTCTACCCCTGAAGGAATATATTCTGATCCCTGAGTTCAGTGCCGTTTCAGTATAAACTCTCAGTCCACAGACTTCCTAGGCAGCAAGGGAAAGAGGTCCCTCAGACTAGAACAGACAAATCAGGAGATCTAAACTTAATTTTCCTAAAATATAAATAAGATCACATTACTCCACTGCTTAAAACCACTTACAGGCCTTACTCTCCTCTAGGGCAGTGCTACAAAAAAATCATGAGTACCAAGCAAGTAATGTAAAAATTTTTAGTGGCCATGTTAAAAAAGTAACAAGAAATAAGAGAAATTAATATATTTTATTTAACCCAATATGTTAAAAAAATCATACTAACGTACTCAACAAAAAAATTGAGATAATTTATGTCCTTTTTTTGTATTCGGCCATTGAAATCAGGTGTTTATTTGACACTTATAAAACATCTCAATTGGACTAGCTGCATTTCCAAGTCTTAGTAGCCACCAATGGCCAGGAGTTTACCATACTGGATGGAACAAAAAGAGATTAAAATCCAAAGTCCCTAATAACGTGGGCCACCCTGACCTCTTTTTCCCATTACCTCCGCCACTGGAACTTCATTGAAAGCTTCTATAAGGTCCTTTCGGACTCAGGGGCTTCACACTAGTCTTTCCTTTTACCTCTGAGGCTCATCCCACCTTACCCCACTCCCCAGGCCCATCGCTGCAGGGGCAAGTAGTTTGCCTGAGCAGCCGGGCCAGAACAACGCAAGCGCTATACCACTTGTTTCCCTCACCTTACTTCTTTAACTGAAATTACAATTCTTGTTGTCTACGCCTGCCTGTCTCGCCTTTTCCCCTTAAAATGAAACCATGGAGGTAACTCAAGCAACATTTTGCTGAATGAATGAATGAAAAAGCACGTTAAAAAAAATATCCAAGTCCAGCCTTTCTTTGGTGACAGTAGAGGCCGGGAAGAACACGCTGCGGGTCAAGGTCACATGACTAGATCCAGTCGATCCAGGCCCAAGGAGAGTTCCCGGATCCGAACATCACAGGCTACGGACTGCCGGCCCGCGGTGTCCCCCAAACCTACCTCCTCTCTCAGGTAGTCAAACTTCATTGGCTCGSGCTGCTGGGCCGCCCAGTTCTTCTGTTTTCTCTTCAAATTCCGGTCAAAGATATTCAGGGCTCCGGGCGAGGTATTACCAACGGGAAACACACCGGAAGCGACTTCTCTGCCGCCAAGGTTCGCTGCTAGGACCCGTGCCGCCAGAGGCCGTCGCCACAGGCGCCAGAGCCTAGCCTGTCTCAGCATCTTCAGCTGCGACGCAACTGGCCAGCGTGTTTGTCTTGCGCCTGCGCCCGCGCATAGAATGCTAAACGGAAAGAGGTGAATGTAGAAGTAGTTTGGCCCAGTTCGCGTGCCGTTACGGCGGAGCGTCACGCGGAGGATTGTGGGTCCCATGTGAGGCTTGTGGAGAGTTACAACAAGGTGAGTAGGAATGGACTTGAGAAGAAGGGCTGTGGAGCGGCTGCACCAGTCTCTGACAGGATCCCCTTCGGATTTGTGAGGGGAGCTCCGCTTCTTCCTTCTCCGTCCTCGCTGTTGAGGCCTTCTCAGTCCTCTTCAAGGCTGCTTCTTTGGAACCTCAGTCCAGTAGGTTCCGCCTGAGGATTGGGAGATGGGAGGAGGCGTTGGTTCTGGGTCCAGTCTGGTATACCTGCGTTAGAGGGTGGGGTGGACTATCTGGATGAGGGCACGCATCCAGAGGTGCGATCAAGTCGATTTCCGGTCTCTGAATATTTGATGTTTGTAGTGTGCTTTATTACATTACCTCTACTAGTTGGATGAGACGGTACCAACTTCGTAAGGCTGTTCAGAGGATTAAGTGCTATAATGTATCTAAAATTCATAAATGCATCAGCGAAACATTTATTTTTTTCTCGGGATATATAAGTTTTTTTTTTTCAAGTTTAAGAAAAACCATAGCTTTAGAACCGGCCTTCGTTTTTGAAAGAAAGCAGTACCTTACAATTTGATCAGTCCGTTTTTGCTCTTAACAATCAATGACTTCAGACGGTTTGCAAAACTCAAAACTGGGTAAGCCGAATCATCAGAGACTTTACAAGGGACCAATGCTAGTTCATTTTCTCTCTCTCTCACTCACACATTCTCTCTCTCTCTCTCTCTCTCTCTCTCTCTCTCTCTCTCTCTCTCGTTTTGGGGGATCAGCTCATGTGGGCCATAGTCGCTTCTACACAAAATTAATTATAGAAGGAAGTGGTATCCACTAACTAAAGTGAGACTTTACCTGGTTCTTGGAGGATAGTTGAATTTAAAGAGGGAACTTTTGGTAAGCTATCCTGATTTGATTGGTCTGGTTAGTTGCGAAGCTAACCTTATAGTACTAAATGCTGTTGGGAGTAGCAGGAGGTAAAGAATAATAGAGAAAATGGGACCGTTTGAAGAAACAAGTGAGACCGATTAAGGCTGGGGAATCTTTTCATTACCTCAGCTTTCAGCCTATAATTATAATACATATAGGTATACAGCTAAAAATATGGAAATTCTAAGTGAGTGTAATGGGCTAATAAACATTTGCCCTCTTCCATAAAACCTTGAGATTCTGCTTGGTTTGCCTTAAATTTGTTTCTTCAAATGATTTGTAATAGCTAAGAGGATATTTTTATGTTTTTGATTTTCTTGCATGACCCCGAATAATTTGGAGAGATTAAATAAGACTTTTTACTTTTATTTTATGTACATTTAACTTAGAGTATGTTATGAATTAATGTTTTAAAAACATTTATATTAAGTATTTAAATATTATTTGATACTTAATATTAAACTAATATTTAATGTTAAATAAGTATTTGATATTGATATTTAAATATTAAGTAATATCTAAATATTATTTACATTTTATTGATGTATGTAACGTGTTTTATTTGTTTTTTAGTATTTGGTTTCTTCAAACATTTGTTCAGTGAGAGATTTTAAAATGTCATCCAAACAAGAAATAATGAGTGACCAGCGGTTTAAACGAGTTTCAAAGGATCCCAGATTTTGGGAAATGCCAGAAAAGGATCGAAAAGTCAAAATTGACAAGAGATTTCGAGCCATGTTTCATGACAAAAAGTTTAAATTGAACTATGCTGTTGATAAAAGAGGCCGCCCCATCAACCATAGTACTACAGAGGACTTGAAACGTTTCTATGACCTTTCAGATTCTGATTCCGACCTCTCTGATGAAGATAACAAAGCACTGAACCAAAAGAAAATGAAGAAAAAAACCCAGACCAAAAATGAAATAAAGTCCAAAAATTTGACTGAGAAGAAAAAAAAAGAAACTGAAAAAGTTAGTCAAAAGGATTCTGAAAATAAAAATGATGTAGATAATTCTGAAAGAATTCAGCAAAAGAAAAACATATGTAGATTTAAGAAGATAGATTTAGAAATAAGTCCCAAAAAAGATAGTGAAGAATTTACACATAAAAGTACACAAGTGAAAAAAAACATTGAATGTAGTGCAGACTCTTTTCCCAAAGGAAAACTAAGGACAGTAGGCTCAAGCACCTCTGAAATTGGGAAATCTACCAAAATCATTTGTTCGRAGACAAAAAGAGAAAAACAATCAGGTTGGTTGGAAAGAATTAGGGATTCTTTGATGTTAATCATGTTTATTTTTATATTGATCTTTTAAAACAGTAAACAGTTATGGTAAGTTGGGAATGTTTAAATGCTTATATGTAAATCTAAAACTATGAAAGAAAAAATAACAAGATTTATTTTTTATTTAGTGCTAGAAGGCAGATGTAGAAATTCCATTCTTAATGATTTTGATTTGTGTTGGGCATTAGTAAAGGCTATATGTGCTAACCAGATAAAGTGTTAATATGTAATCACTTCATAAGAGATGTGTCTGAAGGTAAGGAGAATTGTATATTCATGTATTAATTAATTACTTTAAATATTTGTGACTAATTTGTGGTAGCTAGAACATGGGGTATGGTTCCCCATCTTAAGGCTTTTGCTAGCTTATTTGATGCCTTCGAGCAAACTAGAAAAAGGTATACTCTGAACACATAGCTCTCCAGAGCTCACAGTTTGGTGGGGGATAACACTTTTGAGAGAAGCGACAGGTTGTTTTCCCCTGAACTAAGCCACTCTGCAGGATACATGGTTTGATGAGTAAAGATGGCTTTGATTTCAGCCCTTTCTCCTTTGTAGATGCCCATGTGCAGATAACAGCCCTCTAAACTCTGTGAAGTGGTCCTAGTCTAAAGTAGCACTATCCAACAGAAGTGCATAATTTTTGAATTTTTAATAGCCATGTTAAAAAGTGAGAGGAAGGGGCTGGGGTTGTAGCTCAGTGGTAGAGTGCTTGTTGCTAATGTGTGAGGCACTGTGTTCCATTCTCAGCACCGCCTATAAATAAATAAAATAAAGGTTCATTGACAACTAAAAAATATTTTTTAAAAATTGAGAAGAAGCAGATGAAGTTAATTTTAGTAACATATTAACCAGTTATATATAAAAAATTTATTTTAGTTTGTAATCAATATTTTATAAATTAATGACATTTACATCCTATTTTTACACTAATCTCAAGTTGAATGAGCCATATTTCAAGTGCAAAATTGCCATTTATGGCTCCTTGTCACTATATTGGACAGCATAAATCTAAAGTGGAAGAAAATCAGAACCAGAGAACAAAATAAAATAACAGTGCCATAAAAGATGTTTAGCAGAGAGCTATGGAAGTGCATAAGAAGGGGCTACTCAAGATGTGATAATCAGATAAAAAGTGCTAGAAGATGCATTGTTTTGATTGAGGTTTGGAAAGGATTTAAGTTTGAGAATCAAAGTGTTCTACATATAGAGAACTATTTGAGCAAAGTTATGATTATTCATGTTGAAAAAGAGAACCATTTGTGATTAGATAAAATCTTGAAGAGGTAAAAGGGTAATAGATATAGAAATGACTATTTGGAACTAGGTAAGAAAACACCTGGCATCTAGTTTGTATTTACATGTTAACTGTTTAATAAAATTTTGTGTTGCCTCTGATAGCAGGAAATTTTAAATATTGATGTTGCTCATAGTTGATGTTGTAACTGAAAATTGGTGGTACCGATGAGCCAGATTGGCTACAATTATAGTACCCAAGGAGGATAGGCATTAGGAAAAGACAGGAAGGTCTTGAGACAGGAATCATATTGGGAAAGTAGGAAGTATTAGGCAGTGGGCAGAATTCTAAATAGTAGAGATGAGGGTTTCTGGGATGGGGTCCCATTTCACTTGTAGCAGAACCAGACAGCATTCCTCATGCAAAATAGAAAAGAGATACTAATCTAATTACTGAAATTGAGTAAAATTGGACTGAGACCAGCAAGGTTGATGTGATGCTGAGTTTGTGAAGTAAGCTAGTCTAGCATCCTTGAGGTTCCAGTTAGTTTAGGGTACTGGATTAATATAACATCATTTTAATCCTTTCAATTGGTTTTAACAGAATATTCTTAAAATTCTTTTCTCATTTAATTTTATCAATAACCTTGAGAAATGAAAGATATATCAAGAAGCCAAGTTAAAGTGATTTATGTAAGAAACACATGGAACTGGAACTATAATTCATGTCTTCTGACTCTTTTTACCCCACCATGTTGCTGGCGTTATTTATATTGGTTCCACAATCTGGAATTAAATGATTGAATATACAACCCTCTTTTATTCATTGATTAATCACCAAGTATCATTGCAGTAAGTACTACATGCAAGGGACTTTTAAAGGTCAATAAGGAAAAAAATAATATAAGGAGTTACAGTTTCACATTTGTCATTATATAATGTTCACGAGGGGTTTCGAGCTGTAGCTGAGTGGTAGAGAGCCTGCCTCAAATGTGTGAGGCACTGGGGTCAATTCCCAGCACCACATAAAAATAAATAAAGATAGTATCCATCTACAACTGCAAAAATAAATAAAATGTTCATGACCAGCACTTGTAGGCCTAAGAATTTATTTTAAGTAAATAATTGGAAGTGTGTGCAAAGAATATGATTGCAGCATTATTTTTAAATTAAAAATGTTAACCTAAATCATTAAATGATTGATTAAAAAATTATAGTAATACAAACATCTATGATGTGTAGAGTTTTAAAAATAGATTGTTTAATATCACCAGCTACTTTGAGAAAAATTTTGAGGGTTATATACCAAAATAACCCTGAAGGAGAAGCTACTTAATCATCTTAATTTTCTTCATTAAGCCATATTTTCTTAATTTTTTTTGTAGTGTACATTCATATAATTAGGGAGAAAATGGTAAAACAGCTTTTTAAAAAGTAGATAATAAGTAGTAGTGTTTATAATAACTACTAGACCAGTTATCATTGAAGAATAGGGACAGTCACTTATTTTGTAACCCCACTTAATCTAAAATGAAGCTTTGGGGCTTGGGTTATGGCTCAGTGGTAGAGCATTCTCCTAGCGTGTATGAGGTCCTGGGTTCAATTCTCAGTACCACATGAAAATAGAGTCCATCAACAACTAAAAAAATTCTTTTCAATAAATAAATAAAAATAAAATGAAGATTTGTATGTTGTGGGCTCATATGTAATTATGTATTATTTCAACATCTTTGAAAACAACCACTGCATCACGTCTGTGACATTAGGAGTATTTAGAATAAAGCTAACTTTTAAAAGTTAATTTAGTTATCTTATTTCTCAGTGTTGCTTAAAAGTGAATTATGCTTAACTCATAATATCTTACTTTCACTTTTATGTTCTTCTGATGCCCTTACACAGAACTCATGATAATACCTTCTTTTTCAAATTGCTAGCCAGTTATTTTTATTACTGTGTACTTTGTGAAGCCAGAAATCAAAGCCCATTTCCTTCCCTCCTAACAAAATGCCTTTCATTCAGTTAATCTTAAGTCAAATGATATCTGTGCAAAGTCTTCCTTTTCATAAATACTCTTTGCAGACAAACTTAAATGTCTCTGGGGCTTAAAACATGGATTCATAAATCAATAAAATTTTTCCTTTATTTATGAACTATCAAGGATGGGAATTATGTTACATATCATCTTATTTCCCTTCACCTGTTTCAATGCTCTGTATATAGTAGATAATGAATAAATACTGTTAAGAGTGTAGGACTAAGAGAAACCAAGTTTCAGTTTTTTTAAAAAAAAGTTTTTAAAAAATTTTTTGTTGTATTTTTTATTTTATTTATTTATATGTGGTGCTAAGGATCAAACCCAGTGCCTTACACATGCTAGGCAAGTGCTCTACCAATGAGCTATAGCCCCAGCCCCAAGTCTTAAACTTTTAAATATGCTTTTAATTCTCCAAGGTTTGAGTCTATGAGTAAGCAGAAATGTAAGCATCAACTTAAACATAATAAACTATGTAGGATWTGGGGAGACACACACACACACAGTAGTGATTGCTTATAGAAGTAAGAAACAAGCCTGAACGGGCTGGTTTTTTAGTGCTGAGGGCTAAAAAGGAATCCTAAACAAAATATCTTGATATATCAATGACTCTAAATAACAGTTAGTTACAAAGTTCAAAAGCAAAAAAGTTATCTTTTTTCTCTTTATAGGTAATCTCATCGAAATCACAATTTCTGTTGTCAACCACATATGAATGAGTCAATTTTATCTCACAACTCTGAGCTGTATCTCTTAATAACTAGCAGCCTTATTTATTGATGTTTTCTCTTAGAAAGGCACTTCAAATTTAATATATTCAAAACTGAATTCATAATCTCCCTTCAGAAAAAAACTAATTATTTTCCATTGTTTTCTATTCATCTAGCTAGCTAGCTAGTTAGCTTCCTGGTTCTGTAAGCCAAGAAGCCAGAACTCATCTTTGACACTTCTGAAATATCAAAAACCCCTGTCACTGATCATTACTTTTACCTCCTTAAAGACTTGGAAGTCTTCACTTCTCTACAATTCTACTGCCACCAATCAAATGCTATCTTCATTTCTTGTCTAGAGTATTCTACTGTCCTTCAGAAAGTTCCATTCACATCTACTTTTTACTCTCTCCAGCCAGTTTTCCACATTAAAGTCAAGGTGACTTCAATTTGCAAATCTGACAGTGTCCTTTTGAAAACATAGCAATGGTTTCCCATTTATTTTAGGAAAAAGTCCATCCAACCTGATCTGCATGGTTTTTGGATATTATGACTCCTATGTGAATCTTTAGTTCCATCTGTTTCTTAACTGATTGCTATCTACAATCCAGACAGGATTATTGACTTTTTCCAACTGGCAGATCTTTAGATGCTTTCTTTGCTGTTTATAACAAAATTCCTTTATCTATTAATCTAATTTGATTATTTATTTTTCAGATAGTAGCTTAATTATATCTCATTTAGAAACCACTATTATATGTTTTCAGAAAGCATGATATAACTTTCCTTTTTAGAATTTATCCAAGTTATAATTTCTTTTGTTGTGTGTATAGGTTTGATTGGTTTTATTTGATACCTGTTTATTGATCTTCTTCATTCAAAGTACAGTGAGGACATTAATTACTTCATTTTTGCCAGTGATTGTCTAAGATAGGCCCGCCATAAATATCAAAGTCTATTTGCATGAGCTGGATATATTTTTAAATTTCTATTAAATAACTTAGGTAAGGCTGAATTTTTTCATAGAAGTTTTATTTTTACTGTATAAAATGTCACAATAACTTGGATTCAATGTAATTCACCGTGTACTTTTCTCCTCCCTTAACATTTTGCAACAGTTCCATTCATAGTGGCAAGTGACAATGATGGTAAAATGTTTGACAAAGACACTCTGGAGGAAGATTCAGACAGTGTTAGTGAAATAGGAAGTGATGAGGAATCTGAAGATGAAATCACAGGTGGTGGTGGCTCTTCAGCTGATGATGATGAAAATGAAGATGATCAAAAGGAAGATGAAGATAGTGAAGAGGATACCGAAAGTGACAGTGGCCCTGATCTTGCAAGGGGTAAAGGAAATGTAGAAACTAGTTCTGAAGATGATGATGATTTGGCAGATTTATTTCCAGAAGAGCCTGGTTTTGAGCATGCTTGGAGAGAATTAGATAAAGATGCTCCTCGGGCTGATGAGGTAACATTTTGAATAAGATTATTTATGAATAACTTGTTACAATTAACTTGTATGAATAGTAAAATCAATATCATGAAATTAAATGGAAAGGAAACTGTCAGTGTACCTCAGTAGTAGAACACTTGCCTAACATGCATGAAACCCTGGGTTTGATCCCCGACATCACAAAAAATAAAATAAGTTGAAAAACCTCTTTTGGTAATAGTATTCTTTGTGTGTTTTGGAGTTTTTGTTTTGTTTTGTTTGTATTTTGTCATGCTGGGAATCATACCCAGACAAGTGCTCTACCGCTAAGCCACCCTTGTCCCCCTCCCCTAACCACATAGTAATATTTTTCATGATTCTGATTTAAACTTCTCGATATGGAATATGTTTATATAAATTAGAAGATGTCTGTCCAAGCAGATAAAGAAAAAGTTCTACATAACTAATTAAAATTCACTTGAAATTTTTACAAAATACTTGTTTTAGCTAGTAATTTACCTTCTGTACCTACTGCACCTTAGGGAAATGTCATGGGGTCACATAAGGCCCCTCCCCTCCCATGCATGGGTGACGGATAGTTTGACAAATTTAGAGTTAAAAAAAAATCATTTCATATCCATGTTCTAATTTAAGAACTGAGAAGCAAGTAAATAGGTTTTTTTCTTTTTAGGTTTTACTATTGTTTAACTCTCTGGAAGTTCTCTTTTACATGTTGAAACAGCTTAGATAACTACTGATAATTTCATAACTTGGGGAAAAGAAAGCATATTTTTGAATTTTAATTTTCAATCATTAAAAATAATATAAATTATATAATACTTAATTCTTTTCCTTTCCCAGATCACACATCGGTTAGCGGTTTGCAACATGGACTGGGATAGATTAAAGGCAAAAGATTTGCTGGCTCTGTTTAATTCTTTTAAACCTAAAGGAGGTGTTATATTTTCTGTAAAGGTAAGAATTAATTTCATTTTAAAGTAAAACTTCTAGATATTTAAAGTTAGATTTGACTTTTTTTTTTTCCTCCAGTGACTTAAAATGTTGTGGCTGTTTTTTCTTTTATAGAAAATAATTTATCTGGAAATTGTCCATTACAACTGGGCATGAAACTAATGTAAATAGGTTGTAAGTGTTAGGAAGAGGTAAAATTTTCTTGATGGATTATATGATTGTGTACACTTTAAAAGCCCAAATAAATTCAGGTTTGGTAAAGCAGTATGGTATAAGATAAATATTAAGAAATAATTTGCATTCCTCATTACTGGCATTAACCAATTTAGGGAAGAAATTCAAATTGCATTGGCAACAAAGGTAAAGTTTTGGGGAATTACCTTAATAAGTACTTTAAGACCTATATGATGTAAGCTAAAACATGATAAATGTGGTAAGCCAGTGTAATGATTAAGTATCCAGATTTTGCTTCATGATAGACGTATGTCAAAGGTTCATTCTCATAAATGCTATGTGATCTTGGGTACTTAATTAATGCTCTATTCATTTAGCAAATGGATATAACAATAGTACTTTCTGTGGTGGTTATAAGGATTAGGAGCTCACACTTAAGTCTTTAATACAGTTTCTGAAGTAGTTCACATTTTTTTATTAGTTGCTCAGAACATTACAATGATCTTGACATATCATACATTTGATTCAAATGGGGTATGAATTCTTATTTTTCCATGTGTACAGATTGCAGGATCACATTGGTTATACAGCCACGTTTATACATACAACCATACTAGTATCTGTTGTATTCTGCTACACTTCCTTCCTTCCCCTCCCATCACCTCTCTCTACCCCATCTACTGGAACATTTATTTATTTTTTATTTTTAAGACAAAGTCTCCCTAAATTGCTTAGGACCTCACTAAGTTGCTGAGGCTGGCTTTGAGCTTGCAATCCTCGTGCCTCAGCCTCCAGAGTTGCTAGGATTATAGGTGTATGCCAATGTGTCTGTCTCTTATTTAAATATTTTTAAATGTCACTTCTACAGTTTTATTGTAGTTTCAATCAAAATCTCAGTTCAAGTTAAGAAAAGGATGCCAGTAGTTATCCAAAAGAATAAACAAGAATGGGGCTGAGATTGTCATTCTGCTTGAATACCTGTTGTTGAGATAAATGGACAAGTCATTGGATAAAAAACTTAGTTCATATCTTCACCTTACAATAACCCAAGCTAAACTCCAGCATTAAGCAAATGGGAAAAAATTAAAAATCAAACCAAAGAAACAAGACAAAAAAGAATTATATTTTGTGAATTCTGGGGTTCTAGGAGGTGGGTAAATAGGAGTTTTTAAATCTACAAAAGAAAAAAAAATCAGATGTAACTACATATATGCATTCTAGGTCAACCTACTATGTAAAACTCAAAAGTAGTAAGAAAAATTCAAATTATCTTGTTGGTAAATTGTGTATTTCAGACAGCTTAGAAAACATTAGGTAACAAATGTATATTAAGCTCGGTAATATCAAACAATGTAAATTAATATAATTATATTTCTTGACTCTGAAAGTAGCCAAGATTAAAAAAAAATACCAGTGAGAGTAAATTCTTTTTCTTATACCCAAACTATATTTAATTTATATGGTAAGAGTGTCAGCAGTTCTTTTCTTTAGTATTTGAAAGGTTTTTTATTTTTTTATTTTTATTTTTTGTAGTTGTAGGTGGACAGAATGCCTTTATTTTATTTGTTTATTTTTATGTGGTGCTGAGGATCGAACCCAGTGCTTCACGCATGCTAGGCAAGTGCTCTACCACTGAGCGACAGTCCCAGCCCTTGAATAATTTTTTTTAAAAGAACGCATTGGATAAACAGTATGACAGAAGTAAGTTGGATATTATAAAGTTGATTTTGTTATGTTTTATGTCTTTCTATTTTATTTAAACCGTTTAACCAGTCCATTTTCTTATGTTTTATTCAGAATTCCTTGAGCTTAGAACCTTATTTTGCATGTCTTAATTTTTCTGTTGGATCCTAGAGTCATCTTGCTCAAGGTGGTGTGTGGAAGAAATACTATTTTTTTTTTTTTTTCAATTTTTGTTCAAGCCCCAGGTCTGTTACTTTTTAGCCAAGGTGATTTATTTAAAGGAAAGTCCTTGGGATGCTTTACTTTCCTGTAATGAGTTTGAAAGTGAATTGCTGTTTTCATTGAGTAAAGCTGTGACTCTGAAAGTTCTTGACCTTGAGGGGTCTACATATTGTATGGGAAGGAATGTATAAATTACATCCATCTTATTTTTTGTGTTTAGATATATCCTTCAGAGTTTGGAAAAGAAAGGATGAAAGAAGAACAAGTTCAAGGACCAGTAGAGTTACTAAGTATTCCTGAAGATGCCCCTGAAAAAGACTGGTACTAAGTTGCTATAGAAYATAAGCCTTATAAATTCATGTCATTATTTTAAAATTCTGGTTACTTTCATAGGACTAAAGTTTACATTTGAACCATATATGATTCAAACAGGTCTTATAAAACAGATTATAATCTGTCAGAAGTGGCACACTATTCAAACAACATTTTGTGCATATATTTATATATTCTTGGAAATATTGCAATTCTTTTTTTTGGGGGGTGGTACCAGGATTAAACTCAGAGGCACTCGGCCACTGAGCCACATCCCAGCCATATTTTGTCTTTTATTTAGACCCAGGGTCTCACTGAGTTGCTTAGTGCCTCGCTGTTGCTGAGGCTAACTTTGAACTCACAGTTCTCCTGCCTCAGCCTCCCAGGTGGTTGGGATTACAGGAGAGTGCCACTTAGCCCAGTGAAATATTGCAATTCTTGAAAAACATTTCATGATTAAACTGAGTTAAAGTTTTTCCCACCCTCATGACTCTGAATTAGTAAGTTTTGCGTTTTTTTCTGAGATGTTACTTTCTATGTAAGTTGTACTGAAACTATTTACCTTTAAATTATTTAAGTTTTCTTACTTGAGGGGCTGGGATTGTGGCTCAGTGGTAGAGTGCCCGCCTGGCATGTGCGAGGCCCTGGGTTCCATCCTCAGCACCACATAAAAAATAAATAAATAAAATAAAGATATTGTGTACAACTAAAAAAATAATAATACTAAATAAATATTTTTTAAGAGGTTTTCTTACTTGAGATTAAATAGAAAAATTTAAAAGTATACAGTGGGTACTATAGAAAAAAATTAAGATAACTTTAAAAAGTCACTAGGTGGAGCTATATGTACACTTAATTAAAATGGTGATTAAATAGATTGGTGGGAAGAGAGGCATATGAAAACCTTCAAAGAATATGCTATTATGTGAAATTAAACTTAAAGGTATTTAGACTTGAAGACAGATGAATCTGGAGCAAACATTTTGCAAGATCAGGAATTTCTTTGTAATAGAGCTAATGCTTTCCAAGCATATTTTATAATGTGGTGGTTTGGTCCAGTGGATTTATTTGAAAAGAGTGTGTTTAATTATTTTATATGTGGTGCTGAGGATCGAACCCAGGGCATTATACATGCTAGGCAAGCACTCTACCGCTGAGCCATCACCCAACCTGTAATATATTTTTCTTAAAATAGTTATTTTTATTTTTTAAAGGCAGATAGATTTCTGTGTTTCTATATAAGTAAGTTTAATGATTTTTTTTTTCTCCCTTTAGGACCTCTAGAGAAAAATTAAGGGATTATCAGTTCAAACGACTGAAGTACTATTATGCAGTAGTAGATTGTGATTCTCCTGAAACTGCAAGTAAAATTTATGAGGATTGTGATGGCCTGGAATTTGAAAGTAGCTGTTCTTTCATAGATCTAAGGTAATTGAGTGTGTGTCATACCAACTACATCTTACAGCACAGCATGATTATAAGAAGTAAAATACTTGAGCTGGTGGTACTTTTTGTTGTTTTTTGTTCTAGAAGAATTATTTGCTTTTTGTGGTTGAATTGTCATATAGAACCTCACCCCGAAGTAAGTGAAATCATTCCCACGTTTATGCGCTTTTAAACACATTAAATGTCTGTTTTAAGATGGTGTATTTGTGTGATGGTATATCTTTGCAACTCTTTTAGAGCTTGGGAGCAGATGAAGTAACTAAAAAAAAAAAAAAATGCATTTACAAAGGAGCAAAGGAACTTGCTAATAGACTGTTATTTCTAGATCTGCACTGTCCAATGTAGTAGCCATTAGTCAAATCTGGTTATTTTAATTTAATATAAAAATTTAAAATTAAACTTGCTCAGGCAACTGGACTAATTTTGGACAGAGCAGATACCATCTGCCATCTTCACAGAAATATTCTGTTGGACAGACTGCTGTAAATGCTGTTTCAGTAAATGAATGGTATTAAATACTAAAGTGTTTGTCAAGAAAGGTACACTTTATTATATAAACCTAATAAATCTTAATTATCCGTTTACCCCCCCAAATAATTTTTAATAAAATGTATAGCACATGCTTTTTATATGTATGTGTAAACACTCACCTATATAAATTGTGAAACCTAAATATAATGGATTTCTTAGCTCTGTACATTTTTTCCCCATTCCTTAGCCTAAGCCTAAAAATTGTCAAATTACACCAGCTAATTTACTTTTAAAAGCTGCTTATTTGTGAAATGAAATTGTAGTATAATTTTGTTAAGGTTTTTGGTCTTGAATCAACCTTAAACATTTCCTTATTTTTAGTGATACCTAATGGGCATGATACTTTATATTTAGAACATTTTTCATTAATAATTCTGTTTGATCTTCAAGAGTATCATAAAGCAAGCTACTGACTGCTATTAGTAGTCTGGTCTTTGTGAAACATGATCGATCCATGTGTGTTTGCACTTGTATTAACTGGCTCCTAAATATAAGGTTTCTATCTATATAAGTATTCACTCATTTATGAATTTTAGAAATTTTATACCTAGGTTATTTTTAACACTGTTTGCCTTTTCTGCATGGATGTTCTAAGGAAACTTTAATATTGTTTATATGTATAAACTATAACTAATTAGTTGAGAATCTGAATGCTGCTTGTTTATCACTGAAACATATGTTTAAATAAATTTATTTATTTATTTTTGCTTCTTAGGTTTATACCAGATGATATTACTTTTGATGATGAGCCCAAGGATGTAGCCTCAGAAGTGGATTTAACAGCATATAAACCAAAGTATTTCACATCTGCTGCAATGGGAACATCAACGGTATTTCTTAGATTTTAAGAAGAGATTTGTGTATTATTTACTTACAGCATCTTTAAAAATGGAAAGTATCAACGTTTCAATGCTCGAGTACAAATAGAAATGAGAAATAAGTAGGCTTATATTATCTACTACATCTGTTTGAACCTGTTTTTGGATTCTAGTTATACCTTTAGGCCTGAGTCAGTCACCTGCTAATATTTCTTTTCTTCTGTCTTTCCCACACTCTTAGTCAAACAGTTTCTTTTTTTTT